GACTGACACTCTAGCTTTTGTTTGCCTTGCTACTAGTCGCTTATTGCTTTTATTATTTTTCTATTCCGTTTGCTTTATTGAACATCATTATCATACTATTATATATCTCGATAAGCTTGAATGCATCATTACTCATCATCGTTGATATTTTGAGTATAAATTTTCATCTGCGCAAAAATCAAAAACTGTATTATTTAGAACATTCACAAACGCATTTCAACCATTTAGATTTCGAGGAAGTCTTTAGAATTTTCTAGAACAGTTTAAGTCTTATTGTTAATACGCTTCTTCTCGTTGCTAAGGAACTCTGGGAAAGAAGTCTTCAATTGCTATGGAAATATAATCAGTGACCGTTTATGTTTCTCTTGTCCCTCTATGCATTGCGTGGACTTAATGAGAGTGAGTCGCAAAAGTATATGTTAACAAGTATATCTAATCATTTCTTATGTCTTCTTAGTACAATTCAAAACGATAATTCTTTCATCATTATTACCATATATATCAAAATTTTAACTTCATTTCTATAAACTTTCAATGAAAAACTTTCATTGAACATTTAATCAACAGAATAAACTACAAGAGTTATTATTCAAGAAAAACAAATATACATAACAAAACAATTAAAAAAAGATAAACATATTTAATTCGTGAACCATCCTCATCTACACGAAGTTCTTCTTGTGATGCAAATTCTATTGAACCAGGAATCTACTTCACGAAAATCATAAACAATATATTTTGATCCATCATCACTACGAGCTAATAAAACAATTGATGGTGATTCATAAACTTCACTTGTAACCTACGTACAATGAAAAATATAAGTTATTAAGAAAAATGTTATCATGCAGACAATACCAAAACGTAATTTCATTTTTTTTTGTGAATATAAAAATGAATCATCTATATGACGTTGAACATGATAAATTTTGACTTGAATTAATAGCAGAGTCACATATTTAAAAAATTGATTTACGTACATCCAAATTGTACATATATATTGTTCAAATATTTCAGATACCAATACCGGATAGAACAGACATTAAACGAACCATAATACTTTAAATAAAAAAAAACCAAATTATTCAAAATAAAAAATTCGTTTTGAATATTTTATAGTAAAATAGATTAATATTAAAATTAAATATAAAAAACTGTTGGTTGATGTTCACTTTCACTAACTACAATTATGATGGATCTAATAGAGTATAAAATATGATTTCTATTATTCGAAAAACAATGTCACATATATCAAAAGACTGAAGATAAGAAATTATTTATACAATAGTGTTTCAAAATTGATCGTGCATCCTATGTAAAATGAATGAAAATTGCACGAATCAACATTTATTTTAATGAAGATATTAGAAACCAATCTCAGACAAAGCTGAAACAAAATTTATCATAGAATTTTTAATCAAATATTATTTTATGATTATTCATCATCGATTGGTATCATTAGGATTCGATCATTTATTCAAAATACTAATAAACCATTGAACTACGTTTTTCTCTGTCAAACAAAACTAAACTGAATAGATCGATGGAGATTAAATGCAATGATGACGTGTTCGATCTATAGATTGTGCTTCCCTCTATTTAATTATTTGTTAAAAAGAAATATTTTATTTTATGAAATATAATTATTTGAATAGTTCTACTTTTTTTTCTCAAATAAGAATATATTATTAATTAAAATATTATTTCAATCGAGTCTTGTTTTGAGTATTGATAAGGATATAAACATAATCATGGTAGTATTCGACAATTTATTGAAAAATAAATACTAATGGGAACTGTTTTTAATACTCTTCCTATAGCTGAAACAGATAATTTGTCAAATATATCACCAAATCGTGCTGATTGGTTAACTAGTCATGCAGATGCAACTGGACTTGCTGTTGTGGAAGTTGAACGTTTATGGAATCGCTTTAAACAATTAACAGGCTCAAAGGATCAAACACGTTTACATCCTGATAATACAGCAGTACCAAATGAATTATCTAATGACGTTTTTGTTAAAAATGTAAGTTTGAAAATGTTTATTCAATGATTTCAAACATACAATTGTTAATTATTGATAATTAGAATAGTAGTTTTTCCACAGTTTTCAAGGAATAACATGATAGACTATTGATAATTTTTATATCAACATTCATTGGTGAGCACGAAAAAAAAAACATATCACAGTAAGAAACAATTAACGGTCAATTTTCTTAAAGAGTTCTAGACATTAACGTCGAAAACAAGATCGTCAAATTTCTTCTAATTAACTATATCAGTAATCATTCTTTTCGTTCACTTTATAGATATATATCGTATAGATACTGTAGGCATGATAATGTGAAATATCGCCGATAGTCACATTGTCGAATTTTGATGATCTTCATTTCGATGAAATGCGTATCGGTCTCTTGTAGAATAATTATTAATTTTTCGATTTTTATACAACTTGATTAAATAAGAATAAAATGAAATTTTTTCCATTTCAATCAAATAGATTTTTAATTACATAAAAGTAGTTCTCTACTGATATTCTACAACCTATTGAATCTTTAATAAAGCTTTATGTAAACATTCGATGTTCTCATTGATTTTTGGTTTCAATCGCATTCATCCTCCTATAGTTTAATATCTTCTTATTTACTAGTGATAGTTTTATATAATCCATAGTAATATCTATTTTTCTCAATATAGTTATTAAAACATTTTCCTCGATCTAAATCAGATTCGAATAGTATTCCATTTGGTTATTTTATCATCGTAATGCAATGGCTCGATGGTGCTACCATTCCACAAAAACTAGCAGCTGTATATCATTATCTTAATAATGGTGAACCAATTGGTTCTGATATGATAAGTAAACTTTTAAAACATGTTTATTCTGAAGCCAAAGATGTATGTATTTCATTTAATTAACATAAAAAAGAAGAGAAAAAAAAAATCTTATCATTTTTCTCTTTATTATATTTAAAGGATGAAATTCGAGCATTATCACAACAATTTATGCAACAATTAGGAGTCAATGGACAAAATAAATTAAATATGCAACAGTTTGTTGATGCTGTTCAACGATCTATACCACCAAATGAACTTGAAGAAATTCTTAAATTTGATATTATACCAACACATTTACTTGATGAAGCAAGTACATTACCATCACTTCCATCATCATCAACAAATATACGTAATGTAAATGATTATGGTACAAATGATCGTGTTAGTGATGAACAATTAAGACAAATAGCAAATCAAGTATCACGTAAAAATTGGACAAGATTAGCACTTACACTTGGTTTTCTTGAATATGATATTGAAGCATATAAAATAAGAAATAATAATGATCCATCAGCAACAGTAAGTATTACATTATCTTATGAAAAAGAAAAACAAAAAAAGAATAATACAAATTTCTTTATTATAGATGTTGGAATTACTTCATATGTGGCGTGAACAAGAAGGTTCATTAGCTACTAAAAATCGACTTAAACTTTATTTAGAAGACAGTGAATTTCATGAACTTGTTCCATTACTTAATTAATATATATATATATATAATTATTTATATGTACGTGTGTGTGTGTGCATGCGATCTTAATAATCAATACTAAAACAATTGTGATATGATTTTCAATCAGCGAAAACAGTTAACAATACATTTAACTTTTCAAAATGATGCTAAAGAATTGTGACATTTTTTCTTAAAACATTGGAAAATTCCAATTTTCATATAAATGACTATGTGTTGAAACACTTAATATCTGTTCACATAAGCTAAACTGAAATTATAGCACATCTAAAACTAATTTGTTTGCTTTGATTGGGTTTGGCACAATTAATTGAGTCAATAACATAAGTTTGACATCACAATGATATTCTCTTGAAATATAAGAATAAATAGACTTCTTCTCTAAATGTTGATTATCAATAAGGCGACTTTTTTGTATCAACTATTTGTCAAACAGAAATTTACATTTTCTGAATCAGCATAAAAGTCTCAGGTAGATAAGGTGCTTTTTTTTCTGCTGTAAGACGATATACTTTGTTCATTTATCTTTTTGCACTTAATGAAAAAAAAAAATGTTTGTTCTAATTTTATCGAATCATATGCAGAATTTGAGACTGATTCTGAATATGATGTTAAATTTTGAAGACAATAAGTTGTATATAGAGTTCGGCGCAGTTTTTCACGTTCTATTTCATTATAGAATCAAAGCAAGATATAAAGTTGTATATCGAGTCACCAATAATCTTCAGAAAAATCTTTACAATTCTCTCTGGAGATAGGTACTAATTTTAAATGGCTTTATGAGCGAGTAATCGCTTACGTTGAGCAAAAGAATGTTCTATGTCACCTGATGGATTCAATGAGAACTTATAAAGAGTTATAGCAGATCGGTGTTCTCGAGGTTTGTTGGTAATCTGATCTACAACTTTATCTTTAGCTTTAATTTCATAATCAAAGCAAATCGTAATATACGGCGACAAACTCTATATGAATCTTTTCGGCTTAAGGTTTCATTACGATACAAAATTAGGTTTAAAGTTACGGAGAAACTGGATTTTTGAGTCTTTTTCTCCTAATGCTATTCAAAACTCGATTTTTAATCGCTTTGAATGAAAACACAATATCGCATAAGATTGAGTATGTTTCATACTTTCTAGTAAGACTGATAGATCATCTGGAAACAGTAACTGATATTCGAATTTTAACATCATATTCAGAATCAGCGTCGAATTCTACATTTGATGCCACATAGTTCGATAGAGCCAGGAGAAAAATTTCTTTTTTTTTCGATGGATACAAAAAGATAAGTGAAAAATGTTTTTTATCGAACTCAAAATTTGATGCTTATTCAGAAAATGTAACTCTTTTTTTCAAACATATTTTTGACACGAAAAAAAAATTTCTTTGTATTCTTTGTCTGTGTATCTATTAAAACTAAGCACTAATAAAAAGAAAGCAACATGTTCCTTCCTCCTAATGAACATTGTTCATTTCACGATCTCCATGTGCTCTGTTCACGAAGTACAAATAGTTGATGTCCAAAACGTTCAAATTGTTCAAGTAATTTAGTTGGGTCTTCAATAGAGTCAACAGTAAAGCCATATGGTTGATCGGTAATAGGTGGTGGTCGAAAAATAGTTCGTTCAATAGCTTGTCTTGTTACAATTGGTATAGAAGTCTGCGTTTGATTAGATGTTACTGAAGAACGCGTCGATACCATAAGATTGTTTTGTATTGGTGATGGCTGTGATTGAGTTCTATTAGGTATATATGCTTGTTGTTGAACATGTTTTAATGGTGAACGAGATGAACGAGATGATGTAGAATGTGTTTCACATATTGAATCAAGTAAATTGTCTATTTCCGTTAGAAATCGTGCGTAAACACCCATCGGTAAAGTTACACCTTTAAAACGACAACGTAATTCATGATTTAATTGACTATAAAGACGGCTAGGCTTTCGTTGACACATTCGAAAGAATCGTATTAATGCATGACCTGTCATTGATTCACATATTGGCATAATTAAATGAAGATTAGAATCATATAAAAAATCAAGTATTTCTTTTCTTTTCCAATTATTTATTGGCATTGAACGATATGTCGAATCACTTGTATCACGTTTTATAAATTCTCCAGGAAAATTGATTTTATCATTTATATTTATAAACGAAGATATTGATCCACTAGATATCATACCTGGTGTTGTTGGTCTTGAATTGGGATGAACTGAAGGTTTTTGGAATGCTCCACCAGTAGTAGAATCACGACCTGGTGTTATTGGTCTTGAATTCGGATGAATTGGAGGTTTTTGTGATGTTTCAACCGTAACAGAATCATTACCTGGTGTTATTGATCTTGAAATAACATGTTCCAATGGTTTTTGTTGTTGATCTAAACGAATAGGTGTGGACGAATGAACAGTTTGTTCAACTTTGATTGGTGTTATTGCCACTGCTTTAACATCGAGTAATTTCTGTTTTACATGTCGATTAATTTCTTGAATAAGCAATGAAGAAGCCACCTTGAAATTAGATACAACAAAATTAATAGGCTTATATTTGTTGGTTATGACATTTAACCATCCACCAATTGTGTATCCTTTACGTACGATTAATGGAAGAATAAATTGTTTACAATTAAATGCATATCTAGCTACAGCTTGACATTGATTATCTCGTTTATATGAATTTGATACACAAAGAATAACTAATGTGGAATTATCAATTGCTTCCGCTTGAGTTTCAATAGCTAAAGTATAAAATTAAAATTCTAGTTGAATTTAAGATTACAACTGATCCATATGGAATTTTAATCACAGATAGAGCATTTAAGATAAAAAAGTCACAAATTCGAGACAAAAAGTTTTCAAAAAAGATTTTCTCATATGACTCGCTTACGACCCCCATCTAATTTTGTTCAATCGAGCTGAAACTTTTCTTGGAAATACCTTAGACTATATCCTAGAGGTAGCCTTAATAAGGAGCTACAAAACAGATCGGGTCTTCGCAAGACTGGAATCGACACTGAGTAAATGAAAACAACTGATTTCACGTCTAAAAAAAAACACTTCTAAGTATTTGTCATCAAAATTTTCGCTTGACCAGACAATATTTGACGAGAATTGTAAGCAGGTATGATGTACTCGTATGAAAAACCATTTTTTTCGAAAAAAATTCTTTCTTCAAACATATGCCTCCTTATTTTAAATGCTCTATCTGTGATAAAAGTTTCATACGGATATTTTATACCGTCTTCGAGAACCAGAAATATTCAAACAAGACTAAGAATGCTCTTAAATAAAAGTTTTTTTATACATAAAAGAATCGATCGAATTACAAATTTCCTATTAAAAAAAAAAAAAAAGTTGTCGGCACAATCCTTACATAATTAAAATGTGAAATATTATGTCGCTGTTGCTTGTAATCACAAGAAGATGGGCTTTTTTTTCCGATCTATTTTTGGAAACATTATTTTACTTAATTCTTCACAATTGCAATAAAAAAACTAGTTCACATATTAGAACGAGACATTATTCATATATACGATCTCTGATTAGCATGTGCCGCAGTATGTGTGAGGAGGGAGTTCAGATTTTTACTTCTAGACTTCAATACTCCTGCAAGATCACGTTTTACAAACAAAATATACCATCGACTTACTTTTCCCATGAGAATTATTGCGTTCGAACCAGATGTTATAACCTTCATTAGCAAGAAATTCGTGAATTTCATAAACTAAGTCTTTATCATCATAACAATATGAAATCATTATATCATATTTTAAATTCTGATCATCAGCATTTTTTGTTTCATCGATTGATTTTTGTTCTTTTTCTCGAAATTCAGATTCTATAGAATGAAAAACAATTGTGTAATTTTTCATAGAAGTTTACATTTAAATAATACCTGTTACAATATTCCAAAGAAGTCCATCAGCCATTTTATATATTTCATTATTTACTATGTCATCAGATGAACTCATCGTATCATTACGACATTGACGACTAAAACTATTCGAATGACGAAGATTATTTTCTTGATAATCACTCATAATAGGTTTTGGAATATCTTTTAATGCCGAAATAAATTCTGAATTTTGACGCATTCGTTGTAATATTTCTTCACTAAATGACAATGTCCATAGACATTCAAGAAAAAATTGTTTTGATAATCCATTAAATTGTTGACTACATTCAATTAAAAATCGTAATGCATTTTGATTTAATATTTCACTTTTAACTTGTTCATATTGTATCAAATCTTTAAATAAAATAATATTCGAAAACAAAAAAAAAAAAAGGTTATTAAATATGTATTTTTATTACTTTTTAATATTTCAGCAAGTTGTGTTATTTTTCGATTGGTATTTTTTTTATTAATATTATCATCAACGTCAGTTTTATTATAAGATTCAACTGCATTATGTAATAAGTTAAGTATACTAAAAGTCAATCGAGATAAATTAATATTTAATTCTTTAATATCATTTTCATCCATTATATAAGCAAGCATAAGATAAGCATTGAAAACAATATTTTCACAAGATGTTGATGTTAATGCTCGAAATATTCTCGCTGGTTTACATTTTTTAATATAATCAAGTGCATCAGGTTCATAAATTAATACGCCCAAAACAACAAGTGTTATATCAATTAATAATGTTTCTTGATTTTCTAGAGTATTATGTATTTTTTTAATTAATATAGGTTCAGTAATAAGACATAAAAGATGATTAATTAATGATCGAATTGATTCATTATTTAAATGTAATGTAAAACAACCTTCAGCAAGACTTAAAGTTGTAAGAAGATGACGAATAGAACGCATCATTGGACGATGCCATTCTTTTATTTTTTTAATATGTTTATCAAGTATTGATACATAACTTGGTAACATTATTTGTAAAACTTGTTCAATCGTTTTTTCCATTTGTGGACCTGCCAAAAAAAAAGAAAAATAATTATACTATTTAAAACAAAAAGAATACTTTTTTTTTTACCATTATAAGTTTCAAGAAAATAAGGACATTTAATAAGAAATAATTTTTGTAATTCTGTTAATGAAGTTGAGTTCGGTTTTAAATCTGTAAATAATTGTACATAAGTAGTTGATGTTAAACAATCAATAGTTGGTTGAAGTAATCGAACAAATAAACTTTGATGTAATTTCCATGGCAAACGTTCTTGTACACGTGAAAACATATTTATTAAATGTCCTATTTGTTTTATTAAACGTTTACTGTTACTTGCATTTGATATCTTATTTATTTGATATAAACATATTACTAATGAATCAGTAAATGTTACATCAGCTATCCAATGTAAAATTATTGATATATCATCAACATTTTTAACTAAATATTCAAGTAATATAATACAATTACGTAAAATAGATATTTCTTGATCATCTAATTGATATAATGTATATAATTTTTGTAAAAGACTTTGTATTGTATTACGTACGAGAAGAAAAAAAACATGTGAATGTACGGATTTTAATGAAGGTATTGAAGTAGAATTTAATGAATGAACTATTTGATGTAAAGAGCTTAAATATGCTGTAGAATTTACTGAGTTAAAATATAATTCACGAAAAAGATCATTTAACATAGCTGACAATTCTTCTGTATTAATACGATCTGCCTTACGTCGTATTGTTGAACAATGAGCAGCAACAAGCAATGAAGTTGCCGTTGTTTTATGGTCATTTTTCAATTGCTTTACCATTACTTCTATATATGTCAGTTCAAAATATGCAGGAAAAAAAATGTCGTTCTTGGTTAAATGATGATCGTAGTAGTTTTTATTTACTTGTTTCTTATACGTATTGAAATATATAAGTTAACCTTGGCATAAAATAGCCGTATTTTACTAAAGCAAGAGAAAAAAAGAAGGCCAAAAAGCTTGAAATATTCTCAAGCGTAACGGTGAAAATATGTATAGTATAACTTTCTTCCTTTTTTTTATTTTGAAAACTGCTCTAAAATGTTTATCGTATGACATTAGATATATTGCTTGCCTGTTGTTTTTATCTTACTCTGACAATATCCAAGGTAAGTCTAATAGACATGTAAATATAGAACAAAACAAGTTATATTCGATGTTGATATGTCATTCATTTTTCACATAGACGATTTATAAGATGAATAAACAAAAACTTATACCAATATTTCCCTCTTCATTGGTAGAGCGATATAAATCAATATGACAAACCGTCCTTCGTTTTTTCATTAATGTATTTGTCTGTTTCTTTTTCTCTCCTACATTGTATATATCGTTTGCCATTTTAATGCATAATTCATCAAGATATATACATATCAACAAATAGGAATGGTATAGTTTTTTTTTCTAATCTTTATAAATTTAAATGACACATAATTTACTATATACAGTTTCATTATACAACTACTGTCAAGGTTGGATACAACAAAAAACTAAAACATTAATAGGAAGAGTCGAAAGCAACAGAATCATATGAAAGGTGTAAAAATAGGACTATAGAAGACGTTTATTTTGATTCATGCTCTATTCTTTTCATTATTATTCACAAAAAAAGTATCGGAAGTGAATAATTTTAACTGATAGTTAAGTTTAATTCTAAATAGAAATATAATCAGCAACGAGGGATTCACCTTGTTCATAGATCGTTCAGTTTTACTTAAGTACGTATGACTTGCAAAGCAAGGACAGATCGAACCGGTTGATACAAATCATTACTCCATGGGTGTACAATTAATCAATTATTTCAATGTATGAATGATTCAATGACGCTTATTAATAGTGTGATATCAAAGTCATACATTTTACATACTCTTACAATTCTATTACACATTATAAGCGAAATTTCAATTAGAAATAATCAATTCTATCGATAAATTATGTCTCAAAATCATTGATTTTACTCTCTATGTTCAATACAAAGCATCTTTTAAATGGACTAATTATAATAAATTATTCCGCATATAAGAGTTTTGTTGTAGTTCATCGAGTTCGAAATTTTCAAGTCCGAACTCGATCAAGTCATACTTTGATACTCTCAAATGAAATTTCCTAATTGGAATTTGATCGTACCCCGAAGATACGAAATACTTTTCTCCTGTTTTTTGTATTTTATGACTAGCATACTCTTCACAAGTCTCAGACGACTAGAGCTCATCAGGTCTAGAATCAACACGACAGGCTATAATATTCAGTATATAAAAAAAAAAACTTTCAGAAAGAATCTTCTTGTTCAAACATACTACTTCCTTTTTTTGAATTAAGTAATAGCTTACTAGTATTTTTAAAAAATGAAGTTCAATACCGACGGCACTCAAGAATTTCATTTAACTGCTCCATAAGATAACTATATGCTCATATAGCATAATCTTCAATATTTTCAATACCACACAAACTAACTTTGAAAATTTCGTTGAAAGTTGTGTGAAAAGAAACGAAAAATATTCATAGTAGGTGTTTGAATGTCCAGATTTATGAAGTTTTGACGGACTCTCTCCATACCTGGACGTTCTCTATGGATGAGGGTGTACTCCTATGATAAATCATTGTTTACCTTTTCATTCATGTTCATCGTTATATCAAAAGTCGTGCATAATACTGCGTTAATTATATAAAAAAGAGTTTTATATATTCCGAATTGTAGAAACTATGAAAAAAAATTTTTAGTGATACGAATATTGCAGTAAATATGAATCTGATAAATGATAAAGTAAAACGAATCACTCTATAAACTACTAGAAAAACGAAAGACATTTTTTATATTCTTTTTTTTTTGAAAACATACACAAGTTTAACAAAATAAAGATATTTTATTGCATAGAAAAAATTGAGAGATGTTTAAGTACACAAACTATAAATAATAATGTATGAAAAATATTGAAAGGTATGAGTATGATTGTAGGTATATGTGGAGAAAAAAATCCACACTCATACCACTCAATCACATCGAGAACATTTTCAAGGAATATGTATTTCTTCGCTATTTGGATACGATCAACAGTGTGTTTTTTTAGATATGCTTGTCATGTACATTTTTTTTACGTTTTTTTCTTTCAGCTAAATAGATACATGTCATAAAAATTTATGACTGAATCTAAATATAAAAACCAACTAAATATATTAATGCGTATCAGTATATAATTTTTGCCTTGGAATTGTCATTACAATTTTCACTAGCCATTATTAAAAAAATAATTAGTTATGCACAAAAAAGGGCAAAACAAAATGATTTTGTTACAGTACGTTGAAAACTCAAGACTAATTAATTAATTTTCTTACAGTGTTGATCCATTTCTATTAATCGTATTTATAAAGAAAAAAAAACGAACTATAACATATTATTAGAGACAGCACTTGTTAAAAGTAGAAATGAGAACATGCTTCAATAGTTCATAAAATACTAACAACAGCTATTATTACATTCCTTTTTTTTTTTAAACTAAATTATGATATTAATCTTTGTGAACGATTCATCTAAACCCAATGAGTCATTTTCGCATCGCCAATATGTTATGATATTTCGAATACAAATATAAAAATAAGAATATTCAATTTTGCTTTTCTTTTGTGGTTTCAATTAATCAAATCCATTTCGATTCAGATAATATAATGTTCATATTACATAGATATATATATATAGTGACTACCAAAATTATTTCACCTGATTTATTATCATTTTTTTCACTGTGAACTATAAACATGAGTAAAAATTCAGATAGTGATTTGACTGAAGAATTTTTTTCAGAAACTCAATTTTTGAAAAACTAACTTCGGATATAATTATACTTTCAACTAATTAATTGTATGCATGATGGTTATTCAAGTCTACTGATCGAAATAGTTTTGTTCGCTTTTTTCCTAATAATAACATTGATTTAAAAAATGTCGAATAATGCCATGATTGTCAATTTATTTCAAATTTTATGTACTTCTTCAATTAAAATGTCTCGTTCTTCTGCAAAAAAAAATCATATCATCTAAATAAGAAATAAAAATATAGCGTATCTCAATAAATAGTACCGATAATTACAAGTGCAAAAAAAAATTGAATATCAAAAATATTTTCTTCTTTTTTTTTCAAAATAATTTTTATTAATGAAAACCATTATAAAACTTTGACAGCAAAATAACAATCAATATGAATGGAATGAGTAGAATGACATAGTAAAAGTACAATAAAATGTAGGAACTTATCAATTCATTTTTCAATAAATAAAAATGTCATTTTTGAAAAGATATTGCTCTTATTTCTAGGAAAATAATTCCCAGAAATTTTCATTCCACAATCGAATCAAATCGATTTTATGTATCTATTAATTGTAGAATTTCATGTTTTCATCATATGCTTTATCATTTGTTACTTTACATTCCTTAGACTGAAAGCAGGAGTAGTATCTCAGTTTGAGATCTGTGGTTTCGATTCCGGTTCGTAAAAACGAAACAAAAACGATTCCTATTTCAATTCCTAAAAAGTGTCTTTGGTACCGGTAATTTATTGATAGTATATCAAATAACTAATGAGAATAGTTTTAGAAATTTCTATCTTTCATTTTTCGAACTTGTTAATATTTATTATTTTATTGAAAAATTAATTTCTTCAGAAGATAAAACAATAAAAAAGAGAAAGACTGTGAAAAGAGTGTGAGTGTGGTTATTGATAGTCTCTTTTTCTACACCGCACATCCGCATGGTTCAGTATTACGACCGTCATACTAAGAAATACGATCGTAATACTGAGTCATGTAATACGTCAATAAAACAATCATTTATGGTCGTTTACGATCGTACACGTACGATCTAAGATACTTGTAAAACAGACGTTTGGTGTTATTAGACTATTGAATGGTTCGATCGATTGTTCAATAATGCATGTATCTAGATGTAATATAATAATTATTAAGAATTACAGAGTGAGTCGAAACATAAGATTATGATTAAATACAATCTTATTATTTGAATAATATGATATTTATTGTGTTTTTTTTTTGCAATAGAAATAGCGTCAATATATCTAAATGTAAATAATTATTGCGATTTCTATGTTATATTTATAAATCGTTTATTTTATCCTTTTGTTTGCTCTATCGCTGGCATACAGAGGATTTATCGGCGATTGCGCTTACATCTTACGGTTCCAGTTGTAAAACTTTTCAGAGTGTTTTCTATCCGAACTCGAATTATTTATTAGAAAGAATTTAAATTAATCGAGAAAAATACAGTATCAGAATAGATTTGAAAACAACTAAATTCTGTCAGTTTTTAACAAACTTCAAAAAAATTCATCCGTTTTGATGCAATACAGTATGATGGTGCACTTTAAAAAAACCGGTGACTGACTGACAGTTGTTATCACATAGGCAATATCTATATCGAGCTCTTTATTTAATGTATTAAAACTTCGAGCATGAAATCTCTAACATAGATTATACTAACGGGTGGATCGAAAGTTTTCGCACAAAATGTTTGTTTATATCTGACCCACTTGAAAATATTTCAGACGAGTCGAAAACTATGGATTAAAACCAGAATTTTGTGCTATTTCTGAATATGAGCTTGGAAATTTTTTGTCAGTTTTTGTTCGAGAGTAGTGAGGGAATCTTTGAAAGGCCTGAAAAATTTGTTTGGACGGGAAATTTTTTCACACTTTNATATACGCCCCCCCCCCCCCATTACAGACCTTGGCAACTTCGTGAAAATAAAAGTTTCTGTTCGAAATTTAGAGATAAAAATATAACATTTTCTAATAATCGATTATCTTTAGAAAAGAACTATTATCTTTTAGAGATTTTAAATATTGGGCATTTTGTCATTAGTGTAATGAAACCAAAGGAGATATGTGAGTTCCACATTTCAGTCCCAAATGGGCTGCGCTAACAAGCTTTAACTTTGTTTTATTTTAATAAAGTAAAGTCAAGTAAAGTACAGTATTTGATTTTACTTTCCTGAATAAAGTAAAGTATCTCTAACTTTATTGAACAAATAAGTTGTAGTGAAATAAGATAAAGTAAAATATTTAGTCAGTGGGTATTGAATTATTTGTTTATTAGCAGACATTAATCACAGTCTAATACGTCAAAAATGACGTGAAATTACGGATCGAAGGCTCCGAAAAATTTGAGCGTAAATTTACTACTTTGAGAGTCAGCATTGAACTCTGAATATTTTTCACAATTTTATTTTCTAATTTATCACACTCCGACTTTTCGCACTTGGCGTTCTCCTCATGTATCAAAAAAAAAATGTTTCGCTGTTCTATCGCAAGTCTTTATAATTCAATAGTATCAAGTGTGCTGATGACAAATGCCTCATTTTTTCTCTTCAAAAGTACTCATATGATAAAGAAGATCGGAAGCACACCATAATACCATTAAAAACAAGATACTGACCAGAAATTTTATTAAAATACGACGAGATTTATTTCATCGAAGTCAAAATGGATTTGACTTCACGAAAAATTCGTATTCTAATGAGACATTCAATGGAGAAAGCTTTTCATAACTATTTTTTTTAGAAAATATGGATTTTATAATGGGTGAGCCCAGTGTTGACTTTTGAGTTAACCCACAAAATCCATCTGAAATGTTTTATGGGTAAGTCAGAGGTGGAATTCTCTAGGGTGGATGTGGGCTCTCTTCGTTATCTCTTTTCTCTTGACCCACACCCACACCCCATTTAGCCGGGAGTTGCCAAAAGGCAACAATCTCGTTTTTTTTTATTTCAAGTATTACCAAGAAGCTATTGTTAGTAGTAATATACACTGGTAATCCATTGAAGAAAGTTTTAAAATAGGTGACTCGCATATCGATATTCAATAGATGTTCAAATGAGTGATAATCATGGTTATGCCTCTTTTCCTAGCTCGTTCGTATGTATGAGGCTATTTTCAATGACGGGTATGTGTTGATCTCAAATGAAAGATGAATAAATCAGGCATTATGTGCCCTTAATTATCGTGTTATGAGAATGGTATTCAAGGCTAGTTTCAAGAAGTTCTGGGTAAGATAAGCTTTCAATGCTGCTTTTTGGCAACATCCGGCTGGAAAGGGTTAACAAAAATAATTCTTTATTTAATAAAAGATTTTTTTCTCTTAACGTGACTTTCATTTTTGTATGAATAAGAAGATGAATATCGATGAGAATAATAAATAATATCAAAGATAGACGAAAAAAAAAAAACATCTGAAAATTAATTAGGCTATTGATTTAGACTATATTTTTCTTTTCTTGAGGTCATCTATTCATTTTATGCAATGATAGTAGCGGGTGCAAACAAACAATGAACATATATATATATATATACGTATGCATAATAAAAAAAATTGTTAGTTAAACTGAATATGAATCAGTCTAATGCTGGTCTTCTTGATTTACCAAGTGAAATATTACTTATGATTCTAAAAAAACTGAATAATATTGATGTTCTTTATTCATTGTTGAATGTTGATAATCAACGACTTGATATTATAGTACAAGAAAATACATTTACTAATACTCTCAATTTTGTATTAACAACATTAACTGATGATATTTTCTCGTTTAACGATTCAATAATTAATCGATTTTGTACAAATATTTTGCCAAAGATTCATTATAATGTTAAATACCTTATTCTTGATTCACTATCTATGGAACGTATTCTTTGTGTAGCTAATTATCCTAATTTAACTCAACTTAAACTTTATAATTTTAGTGATAAAATTGTTTCATCCTATTTTACAGGTAAATTATTTACACAATGATTTGAACAAAGATTTAGATAAAAAATTCTTGTATAAAAAAGATTCGACCACAATTATTTATTCATTTTTGTTTTTTTGTTTAGTTGAAACACCACTTCGGTATATTTTTCAAAAACAAATTACAGATCTTATACTTGAATTCGAAAACGATTTTAATGATAAATCAATAAAAATTTTTACAGTAGATACATATGAATATATTTTGAAATTCTTCGAAAATTTAAAACATTTATCTATTATTGGATCGTTTCCTCGTTTTTTTCCACCATTGATACTTAATAATTTACCTTCAACTACATTCTTCTCTTCAACTATTAACAAATTATCAATTCATGTTATGACTTTTAATGATTGTCTTGCTTTACTTGATGGTCGTTTCAAACAATTAACGTCCTTGATTATTGTTATTGATAATATGCCATATCATTCATCGAATGTTTATCATATCGTAAGTTTACATTTTATTTGATAAATTCTTTCAACTTAAGAAACAAAATACTTTTGTTCAGGTTAATAATTGTTATTTATATTATAATAGATAGTTTGTTTTTCTCAATGAATTAACGTTATAAATTCAATCAATTATAATTAAATAGTTGTAAACTGAATATTTCTCCATTCGATGAACAAAGGAAGTCAATTTTGTTTTTGATTTCATTTCATGTATAGATCTTTTGAAGAGATTAATCGAATGATTAAATTTTAACAAAACAAATTTTTTTAGCTTTATATTTATTGATTTGTATATTTTTCTACTAAAAATTATGTTTTAAAAAAATAAAATTGAAAATGTTTATCTTAAAATATTTTCAAAATCTCTCGATTTTTTTCCAGTAGTTAAGATGAGATCAAACTTATCTTAGTTTTAATTTTTCTTCAGAATTATAAATAATTTTATTTATTGTTTTTCTTTTATATCTTTTAATTATTTTTCTTGTTTTATAAGAAATAGAAAATCTATAAGAATCATGAATATTAAAGATGAAAAGGATTAAATGCATTAAAAGAAGAATTGAAAAGTAAAATATTTATGAATGATAGGTGAAAATAAATAATGAGT